AAAAATGTGTAATAAACTTAATATTAGAAGACTGTTTCATCTTGTACTTTCAGAGCAGCTGCACACACGTGCACAGAAGGCACGTGGAAAGCGATAAAAGTTACAAATAACGACTTTGTGAGGGATGCAGTGCTTTAAAAAATAAATTGAATTAGAAAGAAAATCAGGCTTACCTTTCAGTATTCCTGCAGGCACTTTGAGCTGTGAAGTGCCAGTTGTCCTGCTCCAGAGCACAAATAAATGTATATGCCTACAGAGGGTCATGGGTGCATCATTGCAGACCTGTGGGAGTGCGGGTGATGCATTAACCATGGGAGTAGTCACTGCAGAAATTGCTGGACAGGTTCTTTGGAAAGAAAGGATTTGAAAGCGAAGAGGATTTGGGATTTGCATAAAGTGCCTGCCCAGTGGTTAAAACAGGGACAAGCATTTCTAAGTCCCTTTGGTGGCCTGTGACTGTTGCGGTATGTGTTATGTGCGGGTTTAAGGATGTACCCGGTTTGCCGTATAAGCACAAGGGCCTTTGGCAACACCGACTGCCCTCCGTTCGGAGCCGTGGGAGCTGTGGGCACAACCTGCTCTTGACCTGCAAATGGTCCTGGCGTGTTGCAAGTGGAGAACTTCAAACTGGGAGCTGAAAAATAGTCCACCGGCTCGCAACTCGGTCTTGCATAACATGGCCAGAAAAGAGGGGAAATATCATAAAAATGGAAGGGAAATGCAAATGCTCAGTCCTGCTGCCATCACAACTGTTTTTTTTCTTTTTCTTGGGGTTTAGTTTTGCGTGTTGTTTATATTTCTTAGTGGTTTAAAAATCAAAGCTATTTGTTAGTAGGGAATTGATCTGGCAAGATCTTACTGTTGTTTGTGGTTGTTTTTTTTTTTTTTTTCCCTTTATAAAAACATGATTGCAGGTTCACTAATTGTCTGTGTTTAACACCGCTGTCTGTTTATTTTTGGGGAACTGATTGATCATAGCTGTTCCTAAACATTTTAGTAACGATACGAAGAAAACCACTGATGTGATGACCCTGAATTCCAAACAAGCAATCACGGAGTTCTGTATTCAAACAGGTTTGGGGCAGGGAAATCAGTCTGTTGCCAACATGGCCTGTCAAATCAATTGGGGACAAACTTCCTTGAAAATTAGCAGAGCCCCCATTCAAGGGTATGGAGGACTTCAAAATCTGTAACTTCATCAGTAAGATCTACCCTTGGAAAGGGCACAGTGCTGGCAGCGGTTGTGCATTTGTACACCACATCTTCTCTTCCCGTGTTTGGGACTTGAGATGTGCATCCTCTCAGGATGGAGGAAATGTCAGCGTGCAGTCACGATGCGCAGAGCTCGGTCCAAATGCACAGACCTTAGAAGCACAAAGAGTTAAAAAAGGTGCATGTCATGGTGGCTAAAAAACTTGTCATCTTGGAAACACGTAGGATTGACTTTTGGACTTGTATGACTGACCATAAGATTATTCCCGCCAGGTTATTCCCAATGAAAAGTGGATAAAAGGGGATGCAATCCCTGTGCGTGGGGCATGTGCTGCACATGGACAGCATGGAAAGCAGAGATACCTTCAGTGGGGAATCCCACTAAAATACATTTCTGTTGAAATCTTCTGTAGGTGAGAAGGAGGATATTCACATACTGAGCCTGCTCTATTCACCCAGCAGCATAATCTCCTTTGCACGGTAGCCTTGGGACAGCACACCGTTCTCATTTCGCTTCTCGCCTCTCGTCTCAGCAGATTGCTCTCCCTCTGTTTTGTGGGAATGCAGTTGCTTTCATCGTGGTCTGACTTGTGATAAGGAAGTCATAAATGACCTGAAATTTGGGTTATTCTGATAAGCATCCTAAATTGTAACTATAGAAAGTTGAGCACATAGGTGTTTCAGTTTGATCTGCAGTGGAAGCTAATCCAAATTTAATTATAGTGTATTGTTAAGCAGATACAATCTTCCATAATCCCATAATATTCTAGAATTACAATAGAACGACTTTATATCTCTAGACTATTTCTTATATTTTTATAACTTCATAATTCTAGAACAATTTTATATTTCTATAGTAATTCCAATACAGAAAAAGAAATGGCTAGTTCTGTGCCTATAATGGCATAAGCTGTTGTTTTCCTGGTATATATAACCTTTACTTGTATAGCAATTTAAATGTAAGACTCCAAATAGGTTAGACTTTGAAAACTTTCAAGTGCAGTTCAAGCATTTAGATTAGTGTCTACTTTGCAGACTGCTCCCCAGACTAAATAATTAAGGCATTTTTCTTCTGTAACTGGGGGCAAAGTTGTTTCCTGGCCTTGAGATGTAGGAGACATTGAAAGGCAACTATGCGTTGCATTTTTCTTGATTATATCTGTAATACGTGAAGGAATCTTTCAACATATAATCCTTAAAATATTGATCTTGGAGAGAAAGCCTGAGACTAGAAGGGATCATCTGTCATCAAATTTGTCGTTCATGTGGCATCCCGGGAAGACAGTTGTGGAGTTGCGTTACAGATTTGTTGATCTCGCCTCTCTTTTTTCCCCACTTGCTGAAGGGAGTCTTGGGGTGGAGTTAGGTATAGCTTGTATACACAAGTGTTACAGAGGTTTTTATTTTTCATTTAATTATATTGCCTTTCAGCAATATAATTGCCTTATGGCCTTTTGGGATGTGCCAGCACAAGGGAATTGCCATCGAAAGGAGAGCCGCAGTGGGTGCGGGAGCTGCTGGGTGCAGTGCTCCCCCGCAAATCAAGTTATTTCTTTAAATTTTCAAATAGAGACTAACAAATAGAGCTAACTCCAAGTGCTCGTTTTTATTAGCAGAACTATTTTTTCTCCTTTGTAAGTGCTGATATCCTAACTTAAAACTGTATTTAGTATATTAGAGAAATTTTGCAGCTGATTGTATTTGACTTTATTGAGGTATAAATACTAGTATGTGATGTACTATATAGTTCAGCTGTTTCCTTGTTATATTTCTCTGAGCCTTTTTGCTTACTTTATTTCTGTGATACTCAAGACAAATAGTTTCCTGGATTTGATTTCGTCCTGGCGTTTTTCAGCAGGCTAGTTCTTAATGGTATAGAATTCAGCAAGATGAATAACATTTTCTGTTTACTGTTTACATTTAAAAAAGCAAAACTTCTGTTTAAAAAAAGAGTATTCCAGATGTCTCCAGGCAGTAGGAAATGTATGTAGTATACCATGTAATAAAAGAGCAAATATAGCAGAAAGATTAAAAGTGGCGCACGTTAGCAAATGGTCTGAATTTAAACACTAGTCAGCACCAGGACTTCATTTTAGGTGAGTGAAATTCACATGTGAAGTATTAAAATTTAACTTTATAAATACATTTCCTTAGGACCAGGACGTTGTGCATTTCCAAATCATCTTTAAAACTTCCTTTTTCATTTAATTTTGATTAGATTTTCTAAAACAGAATAAATATAAAAGCATTAAAAAAAATGTAACCCATGAAAGCTAAATGCAAAGCAGATATATCAACAGCAAAAATATGAAGGCCAGACCCCTTATTCCTCAAGTGCAACATGAAGGGGAAAAAAAACAAACCCTCTTTGTGTTGCTGTGTTCTGCTCTGCTGCCAGCTCGCTTCCCCACAGCAGCAATTACAGACTTCCCTCTCATTGCAGCCGCTCTTTTATTTCTTTAAATCCCAATCTCCTCATCCATCCTCCCTTGGGTGTGTAAATCTCTTAGATGATTGGAGAAGATGATCTAAAGAGCAATTAAATCAATGGGAGTCTTCAACGTTGAAAGGAAGATTCTTTATAGATGTCTATTGCAGGAGGAAGGTTTGACTTTGGCAAGTGGAGAAGGGTTTTGGTGGTCAGGATAATTTGGTACCGGCATCACCCCTGGTGAGACAGAGGGAGCTGGAGTTACAATCCCTGGAGGCTGTTAAGGAAAGGGCAGACAAATTCTAGGCAAACATCTACCAGGTGAAATTTTGTCAGGGAATGGACTAACTGACTTATTTCCAATGACTTCTGTGTCAGTTTTTAAGATAATGGTGTCAACATGCCAATCAAATGCTATTTACAGTAGCCCAGTGTTGCTGAAAAGGTGCAGAAACTGCTTATGTGGTACTTCTGGAAATTCAGGTTTGTGGGTCTGTTTTAAACCTTTGCCTGTTTACTTAAACTGTACTTGATCTTTTTTGTCCATCATTGTCCGTCATTTTCAGATGAAATGTTATAGCAGCCTTCTTAAGGTGGTTTAATGCTGGTTTCCCTCTTCATTTGACTGAATGTAATCCCCTAACATGTGGAATATGGAAAAGATACCTGCTTAGATTCGGAAAAGGTATCGTCAGGAAATCACATCATTTTTCTGGGAGGTCATCTGAGAAGATGCTATGGAAAGTTCAGGTGAACACAAGGAAACCCAAGGGACAAGAGCCACAGAAAATGTGGCACAAAAGCATCATTCTTTTTAAATATAGTGTCTAAGCTCCCTGGGTATTCAGTGGTTGAAAATGTAATGTTGATTGAGAGCAAGGGCTCTGCTCTTGCATAGCTTTTTTCCATTTATGTCCATTGTACATGCTTGTACCCTCAAGAGCATCTCCCAGTGAGATTATAAGCCTGACACAAAAGGAAATATTCATACAGCAAATTTTTACAAAAACCAAATATTTGACCAGTGGTACCTACAAGCTCAGATGTGTTATCTTACCCTAATTCCTTCTCTGTATTTTTCTCTTGGCCCCGAGGAAAACATCCACGTCACGGATCACTGTAATTAACAAGAACTTCAGAAGTAGAGACTACAGAGGCAGTGACTGTGGGAACTTTGAAAAACACCATAAAATTTCAATTTTCTTTGCTCTGTTTACAGCACAGAAGCAAAGTAAACAAAAACCCAGCCTGAGTGTAACGGTTGCATTAGGTATGAGCTGCGTGCCGTCCAGGAGAACCAGGATACATCTTTGCTGAGACTATCTTGTAATTCTCATCATCTGCCTTCCTTCTCTAGACGTGGACGAATGCGTGGTGGTGAACGGTGGCTGCCAGCAAGGCTGTGTCAACACCCACGGCTCCTTCCACTGCCAGTGCCGGGCGGGATACAGGCTCCACGCTGATGGGCGCACTTGCATAGGTAAGTAAACGTTAACAAGCACTTCATGTGCTTCAAGACGTGGTTTTTCTCTGCTAAATCTGTCTTTGTGTAAGTGCAAAGGTTTGTAGACTTCCCCGGTCTGAGTTTTGACTAATTCACAAAGGATATCATTATCCATTGCAGTTCAAGCAGCTTGAGAGAATTCAGGTATTTCCGAATTTGTTCCTTTTTTATTTTTTTTTTGTGAACAAAGCAGTGATGCTGTCCTGTGTTTCTGTGATGCAATCTTGTGAAAATTTCTTTTGTTTTGCATCAGGCATTGAAGAAATAGTGTCTTCTTTTCAAATGAAAATGTTTTCTGAATTCTGATCATTTTTAGTTTGTGTCACAGCTCCCTGCATGTTCGAGCACTGCCCTGGGCTTTTCTGCCCCCATTATTCTTCCACTTAATCTTTTTGCCTGTTTTTTCTGAAGAGGTACAAACAGCAGATAGTGAAATCTCCTGCCCACAGTTGCCTGGCAGAACGCTGCTTTTCTGACCAAGCAGTCCCAAAACGCAGCTTATGTCTTCAGTGATGAAGACAAAATAAAAGCTGGTGGTTGCCACTCTTAAGTTGGATTTAACCTTACAGTAGGTGACCATCTCCGTCAGGCTGCCCAGACTGGGACCCCGTAGGCTTTCCCAGGCGGTGGCATGAGCAGAGGCGGGAGGATGTCATTAATTCGGCCAAGGGGTGCAATGATGGAGTAAAATCTCTGCAACTGTGCTACAGCGAGCAGAGCAGAAAATCCTCTTGGGAAGATCAAGAGCAGAGGCCAAATTTGTGAATTACTGAGATGCATTTGAGAATACGGTGCTAGGGACTGGTAGCTAGAGAAGGAGCTCTAAAAGGCTAATGAAATATTTAAGTGTGTGCTCAGAGGTCTTCTCTGGTTTTCAGAGAGTGCATAAAGAGAAGCAGCCCTACCCTTTATCTCTTCTCTTCAGCCTTTGCTGTCTGTTGAATTTGTTAGGTAAAACAGTAATGCAGAATTGTCTGCTTGGGTCTGTTTTACATTTTAGTTATTAGGCACAGTGAGAACTATGGATGAGGTGGGCTGAAAACTTTCCTCCAAGGCATATTACATGAAGGTTTAGTTCGTGCTAATCCTTTTAGCTCATGCAGGAGGTGCCCATGCATGTGAAGCTGAGAGTTTTGAGCACTTTTCCTCAGATTTTACTCGTGCTGTGGGCTAATTAGGGTGCTATAGATTTGCAAAAGCTCTTTGTTCCCACAGCAGTCCTATGCCCTTTAATCCATTCCTTTACCTACACTGCTCTTTAAAAAGTTGCACTGCTCCTCTACATCATGGCTACATCTTCATCCACTGCAGTCCTGTTTGTAACATGTCTGTTACAACGGATACCAACTTGCCCTTGCTCAGCCAGCAAAACCTGCGTTGTACTCCTTCGTGGCACATCCAAGCAAAAGACAACACATGAAAGCCAATAACAAAAGAAGTTGGAGACCAAACTGATTGCCTTTCTTTAAATTAGTTTTAAAGCCCCCATATTGAAGATCTTCAGTTCATGAATGCTTGCTCGTGGATGTGTTCCCCTTTCTGCCAACATTAAATATAGAGCATGGGCTGGCTGCAGGTCTCGTCTTGACAACTGCTCTGCGAATCTGAACGATGCTTGCAGTTGTACTGACAGACATATGCTCTTGGTCAGAGGAATCCCATTCCAAGGACCAGGCATTAGAAAACAGTAGGAAGAGAGTGGATATGATCCCAAAGGCTATACCATGTTTTTCAGATTTGGGTGAAAAAACACTGGTTTACAGTACGGAGTTTACCCTATGTATGCTCATGTAAATGAGATTGCCGTGCAACTTTTCAGTTCAGTCCATGACACAATGACCATTTATGCGCTTGTGGAGAGAATCAGCAGCTCTGCTGTTAAAAATAAATTTCTTAGGTTGGACTCTGAGCCCTGAAACAAGACATGTAGAGTTAATTCTGCATGTTGCTAAAAAGAATAATAATAATAATAATAAAATAAAATATAATATACTGTCCTTCTGTTGCATTTAAATCAGTACAAAAGTCAAGTTGTTGAATTCTGCAAAAAGGATTAAAATGTTCTGTCATTTGGGAAGAAGAAAAGGACATCATTTGTTTAAATTTTTAAGCCTGATTTTAGGTAATATGAGAAGAACAGTCAAGTACGGTCAGACCACATCTGCAGAACAAGTTCACACACAGTTTGGTCATTGTCTCGGTTCTTGCACAAATCCCTTGGTTGTGCTTAACCTCAGCCAAATATGTCATCAGTCGTTTCTGGTATTACCGCAGCAATAAACTTACTGATGCAACTAGAACACAAGATGTACCAGTGCTTGAGCTGCAGGAATGATGTTTTTTATTTAAAGAACTTACCCGTTTTAGGTTTGTTGGGTTTACTACATACGGAGACTTTCAGGGTTTTGGTAATTAACTGCAATTAAAAATATGATGAAGTCTCCATCTTTTTTTGATTATCTTAGTTGGAGAAGAAAAGGGTGCAGAAACACTAATGTGAGAGAAAAAATTAATGTAAAAGAGTGGTTCATATTTAACTATAAACACAAGTGTTTTTCTGTGAATTAAAAGAAAAGAGAGAAAATAATCTCTCTCTGATCAGATCTGACCAAGGAAGACCCAGAAGTGAAAGATGTGATGTTTGAGTTACATTACTCTCTCTAAATAGTCTCATTTTCAGCTGTAGTGGAGAGGAAAATTTATACAAAAAAGGACTAAAGTGGCTTTGGGGAGAAACGAGCAAGAGAACTGAATGATAAATGCTAAAAGTAGATATTACGGCACTTAAATGGATTTACCTGGGTAATATGTAAAGCCTTCTGTGGACACAGAATAGTAAAGTTTTCTCATGGCACAAATAATCAAGAAGCTCCATTTGGAGTTAACCTAGCTACGAACAATATCAGAATGCAAGTTTTCATTTCAGAAATGTAAGTATTCACAAGAAGTTATTAAAAATACCCAATGCAATGTTCAGTTCTATTTGCGGTATCTCCAAAACTATCGAGGAGAAACAGTAATAAATCCGAAGATGAGAGACAGGAATAAGTTTCAGAGAGAACTGCTATCATGATAATGGATATACGCAATACTGAGTGGAGGATATTGAGTTCTGTTTCAGCTGTTTAGACAAGACACCAAAATAAATGGATATAATAAGCTCTCATGCATGGAAGCACAAGAGAGTTACTAGTTGATGAGGACAGAGAGAAGCAGTTCATATAAACCGGTCATCCAGGAGTGCCTAGCATCGGGATTTGGTGGGCACTGACTGCTTGCACTGCCCATTGGGGATGGAGAGTTTGCCTCTCCTGCTGCACCAGTTGATACATTCAGTTTTAAGCCCTCATCTGATCGAGAAGTAAAGCCAATAACGCACTTCTCTTTTGACCTAGTGCAGCTAAGCAGAACATCTAGCATTTCAAATAGGGTTTGCATTAGCAATAATATTTCTTCCGTGACTACTTTAGAGGATGTAACAATCTCTCCCACATACTACGACTAAGAAGGGACCGTGTTCTGGAAATGAGCTGTTTATGGAAGGTGATTATCTCAGCTGCAGAAATACAAAACAAGCATCCCTTTACACAGGCTTGTCAGATGAACCCAGCCCAGATTTCCGTTATGTTCATTCTTTCCACGTCTTCTTTTTCTTTTTGGCAACCCCATGTTTCTGGGAGCAAAAGTGCCAAAATCACTGGAGGGGAAGCAGATTTTGCAGCCTAAATGGCTTGGAAGTCTCCCATGCATAAGGAAGTGGATCTATCTTCTTATAAGATATTCAGCCTATATCTGAAGAGTCAATAACCTGGGATAAGCTACTTTCTCATGTGATTGCATGGAAAATCACTGAACTTCTGTCACAAGCTCTTTCCAGCGAGTCCTGTCCTCCTACATTGTCATCACAGTGTGTTTGGGATCCTGACTAACTGCTGGTGGTCCATTCCTCCACCCCTAGTATGAGCCTCAAAATAGGTAGTTTGAAGAAATCTGTTTGTTTGTCATTCCTCCTGCTCTCATTAGAAACTTCTTCTCATACTCGAAGGCAAACAGCCTCAAAAATGGCTTGCCTTGTTCAGCGGTAACTAGTGTGTGAAAGGAAAATACTTTCTTCTTGAATCCTTTGATGATCTCTGATGATGCTTTGTGCCATGCCAGAATCCCATTTTTTTCAATGCTCATTTTCTTTCTTAGCTTTTTGGTCCCACAGGGTTTGCTGAATATTGAATTCTTTTTTAGATATATGTGCCAGACTGAAGGTTCACTACAAATTAGATAATTAGAATAACCAAAGGTAACACTGTCTAATTTTTTTTGTTTTGTTTTTAACACCCTGATTATATTAACGTAATGAATTTAACTTCATTAAAGTTTAACCAACTGGTGTCTGGAAAGCAGAGACTCAGACAGAGAATATGTTTATTGTAGTATTGGGCTGTGTTTTTGGACTGATGTAAATTCATTGTCTTCGCTGGAATTTATTCTTGTTTGAACTGCTAGAAGTGAAAGCAGAGCGCAGTCTTTAGACTCTGATTCATCTCTGGTGCCAGCTGTTATCTTTGATGTCTGCCTTATGTAAAAAAGCAGTTGAGGTGTGGGGTTTTATGGAGACTTTCACACACTAAGACTCATAATAGAGGAAGTAACAAAGAAAATTTCTCTCCAAATCTATAAACTATGTTTTTCCACCGAAGTTAAAAGCACAGTGTGTCTGAAGTTACGTTTCTTGTCATTGATAAGGTTGGATTTAAGGTGATAGAAAACATAGGTTTGAAGAGACTGCATGTTCTAACTCCATGGTTGCTATGTATATATCTAACTATGGCTTCATACTCAGGTTTTTTGTACAAATATGACCATTGTTATAAAAACTAGTGGGTTGAGAAATGTGTATTTCCCAACCATTGGCAGATCCTTGTCTTCCCTGTGTGATGCCTCCCACCGCCAGCTCCCTTCCTCAGCATCGCCAGGCATTATCCCCAGCTGGGCCCGTGCCCCTGTGCCTGTCAGGACTCGACAGCAGGGCTGGTTTTCTACCAAACTTCAAGAAAAAAATCTTTGAAAGTGGAGGGCATGTCGTTTTTCTGCCTGACCCCCATGCACATGCTCAGCCCCCCAGCCGCAAGCCCCTTTACGAGAGGTGGAATTAGACTCATGACATGCCAAACCTCTCCCTTTTTCTGATCCAAGATGCATTGCTGGTGCCTGGCAGCACAGGCACAATTCATCCTGTCCCTTCCCCGTCGGCTCTTCTCATTCAGTCTGGCACCTTCTCTCACGTAGCCGGCGTGATGCCCGGGCAGCATCTGTGATGAACCCGGCCGTGGCTGCCCTGGAGCCATCCGTCGCTCCCC